CTTTACGTGGTCCCTTACCACGCCGGAAAATTCCGATGAATTTTCTCGGTCAACACAGGGATCGAAAACAGAACCTCCTTGTTAGCGAACCAACGTCTTGCTCACTGAGCCACTGTGGCTCACTCAAAAAAACCTAATCTGACTCAGAATATCAACATCTTGTCGAAATAAAAACAAAATTAAAAGTTCCATTAAATAAAATACCATACACATTTAACATTTTTTCTTGATTGAAACTTTGAAGTACTAAATTATCTGGATTCGTATGGATAATATTTGCCAAATGAAATTTTAATGGATGGCCATTCTTGATAACCTAAACATTAAACTCCACGTTAATATATAAATGTCAACATTAAACTCCACGTATATATCTAAATGTAAGAAAAAATGATTAGCTCAACTCACTACCAGACAATAACGATTGATGTAATGACTTACATTGTCTAACTTTAGATCATAAGGTCTGTTATTGAGTCAAGTGGTGTGTTTCGACTCGAGCACTTGGAGTGTGGATCGTGTGAATTTCTACGGCCTCTTCGGGTTCCTCCCACTGCTAAAGATCCCCTACGCGCAATCATCTTATTAAAATAAAATTGTACCATATTATGTTAATCTAAAATGATCTAGTTTGTGTTTGTGTCGTGTGGAAGCTCACCCTCTCTCTCTATCTCTCCCTCTCTCTCTCTCTCTGTCTCTCTCTCTCTGTCTCTCCCCCTCTCTCTCTATCTCTCCCTCTCTCTCTCTCTCTCTCTCTGTCTCTCTCTCTCTCTCTGTCTCTCTCTCTGTCTCTCTCTCTCTGTCTCTCCCTCTCTCTCTCTGTCTCTCCCTCTCACTCTCTCTCTCTCTGTCTCTCTCTCTCTCTCTCTCTCTCTCTGTCTCTCCCTCCCCCTCTCTCTCTATCTCTCTCTCCCTCTCTCTCTCTCTCTCTCACTCTCTCTCTCTCTGTCTGTCTCTCTCTCTCTCGGTCTCTCCCCCTCTCTCTCTCTATCTCTCTCTCTATCTCCCTCTTTCTCTCTCTCTCTTATCTTAATGTAATCGTCAAAGTTATGTGATTTTTGCTTACCTCTTCGTAAATTACTCCAAAGTATATAAAACTGTTTCTTTTTTAAATTAACACTTTTCAAACTTGTAAACGCAGTCAATTTAGATAAGAACTTATTTAATGTTACGATAACGCGATTGATGTATCAAGGTAATAAAGAAAATGGACCCACCAGAAACATTTCGAATAGTAGCTTTCAAATTTTCGTCGCTACAACTCTGACAAGTCTGAAACAAAATCCCCGCGGAACAATCATTGAGCATCTCCCAAATTTTCGGCGACAGGATCAATAACTCTGATTGTCGCTACAAATCTGAAGAGTCTGAAACAAAAATCTCGGGGAACAATCATTGGACATCTCCCAATGACAACATGTTTCCTCCTTCAGTGAGACTATATTCATATAGAGCGATTACAAACTTCAACAGCGTGCCTCCTTTGTACAAAGTCGGTACAATCTGGTTAAAATACAGATCAATATTTCGTTTCGTTTTTTTTATACTTCCGATTGGCTCTACTACATGAAGATCTGACCGGTTGTAGTGTAAGGTCACGTCAGAGGTCATAAGAGCGGCGTTTGACCTATGACGTCAGATAGTTGATTAACCAATCAGCGTTGAGGTTTCTATAGATGGTTACCCACAGTTCCGTGTACCTCACGCCAAAAACTCGACTTAACAGAACGTTTCATTGGCTAATCCCTCACATCATCCAGAACGCGTGTTATATAACAACTCTTTCAGAACCTGGGGGGTTGGATGGCTGAATGGTTAGCGTGCGCGCGCTGTATCATAAAGTCTGTCATTGAGTCGACTGGCGTGGTTTCGAATCCCCGGTTGTACGTGACTAGGAGTAGGGTCGCCTGTCCAACCTCGTCGGTTTTCTCCGGGTCCTCCGGTTTCCTCCCACTGCTAAAGACCCCTATGCGCAAGCGAATTATTGAAATAAAATTAAACCATATGTTAGTCCCGAAATGACCTAGTTTGTGTCGAGTGGACTTTAAACCCCATTTCTCTCTCTCTCTCTTTCAGAACCTAGTGTAGTTTGACTGCGATATCACCTCGGTGAAAGCGGACGTTAAATAAAGCTATTTCACACACACCCTAGTGTAGTAAAGACAAGTAAAACGAAATTTTGAACTATAAAAAAACGAAACGAAATAGGATCTGTGTCGGTAAGGATAAAACGTTACCTAGGTTTATTATCCGTGATATTATGCCATAGTTTAAAAGTTGAAATTGTTACCATCAACTCTTTGTATAATCATGTAAACAAATACAGATTTCTTGACACGAGGCCCCGTGCTGTTTACAAAATGATTGCTTTATAATTTAATTTGTTAAATACGTAAAAAGCAGAATAACTATGATACTTAACACAATGACCTGAACAGCGAATTCGTGAAGTTTAAAGTCTCGGGTATGCTATCCAATCAACACGTTGGCAATGCCAAGATTCCCTTATTGACTCAATTAATTTGAAATGATACAAACCGCTAACCGGTGATTATAGAGGACATGACATTAATCTAATAAATTTCATTAAGATACATTATGGGAGATTAGATAAAGAGCTGGCATTTCTCACTATAATAGTTTAAAACTACATAATGTAAAGGCAATTTACAGAAAATTTCAGTCAAATTGATCCACTCTGAATCGAGATTTTAGCGATTAAATTTTTGGCCTAGCCTCGATCATCATTACTAAAGTGGGTACGATAAAAAAAAATATAGTCTCGATTATCCATTTTATGAAAGTTGAGCAGCAAATCGGATCCTAATCCAATTAACATCGCAAGCTAGCGATGACATCGAGGGTTGATTATGGTCTGGATAGTTTAGGTCTAATTAATATATTTAGGTAACATTTCAGGCCTAAAGAAAGACCTGAAATAGGCAGATTTAGCTCTTGCATATTATATGTTTAAGTCAGCCTTCCACCCTTTTGACTCGTCGGGTTTTGTCTTCCACGTGGAGTCCAATAAAGCAGGCCCTACCATCAAAGTTGTATCAGAATATTACACATTCTGGCGGTTATGGCAAACTATATCCACACATGTAAAACACTGGAAAAATCCTGAAGAAAATATTAGATTATTTTCCCGATATATTTTCATGTTTGTCCGGTGTTTTGATCAATATATGTTGATTTCACTTACTTTGTGGGGTTTGATTTCCTCATAAGATTCCAACATTCTTGGGTACACGGGGTTGGTGGGGGCAGGGGGGGGGGGTTGAGTCACCCAATCGATTACTCATTATTACTTGACCCAACAGAAGCGATATTCCATGTTGTTGTGGATTCTACTAAACCGCGTGTGGGTGTTATACCCATTATATATAATATGTTTACGGTTGTTTTATTGGGAATATTTTGTTTTATGAGGTGAACACCAATTCATGTATTTGATGTCAAACAGCAAGCATACTGAGGTGACTGGGTATAGAAATAATTGTATTTATGTTGTTCTGGGTTTGACCTAAGGGTCAGTTACATACCTAGGGACTGTGTGGTGAGTTGTAATAATAGATCACATGAATAGGGCTTGTGTATCGAGGGGAGGATGGAGGTGGGTAAGGGATGTAATAATAGAGGGTATATTACATCACATGAATAAGCCTTGAGTACCGAGGGAAGGATGGGGGTGGGGAAGGGAAGGGGATGTAATAATAGAGGGTATATTACATCACATGGACAGGTCTTGAATACCGAGTGGGGGATGGAGGTGGGGAAGGGGAGGGGGTGGAATGATAGACTATATTACATCACATGGACAGGTCTTGAATACCGAGTGGGGGATGGAGGTGGGGAAGGGGATGTAATAATAGAGGGTATAATATGTTAAATTGGTTAAAGTATTTAAGTCTCTTACACAATATCTTCCAAAGTCTTCGACATTGAAAACACGAATTATTGGTCAATTTATATCAACATTTATGTCATGCTCTTACTGCGAAACGACGGGCTCCCGATATCTAATATTTAAGACAAAATAAACATTTTACCATTGGTACACGATTCGTGTACCATAATGTGTTTCGGTGCCATTTGTAACAAGGGACTCGAAGAACGAGGCAAGACATTTTCCACAAGTCATGTCAAACGGTGACGTCATATTCTTATCTGGAAACTATGCGCAATAAAAAATATCGATGTAGACTTGAATAACAAGACGCTAGAAATTACCATTCGATTGAGACTGATTTGAAATCAGTGTAAAAACAGAAACAATTGAATGTAAATCCGTTTATATACATTCATATTATATTATTATATGCGTTGCGACCGATTTGTGTCAATTTCTAGGTCTCAAATATAGCTCCTTTAAGCCTACATGGTTAAGTACAGAGGGGAGGATGGGTGGGGAGGGGCGTATATTATTTTACATGAGTGCTGTATATTTTGGTACGTACCGAGGGGATACGGGAGGTGGGGGTTATAATATTGGGGTTTTATTATTTTACTCCCAGGTTTTTGTATCATATTATCGTTTACCCTGTGTTTGATAACGACAAGAGGATACTGGTTGAAACGTTGCACTATTAAAATTGCTAGTAATTGTTATCCATAAAGTTGTGTTCGTGTTTTTTCAATGTTTGTCCTATCACTAAATAACTTGTAAACAATATATTACACGAAGTAAGTCCACTGAGTAGACCTACTGTATATTATGTTTGGTACCGAGGGGATATGTCGGGGATATATTAGGGATATATTATTTTACACGAAGTAAGTCCACAGAGTACTGTATATCCGAGGGGAAAGGTGGGGGATATAATATAGGGTTATATTATTTTACACGAGTACTGTATGTTTAGGTACATTAAGAATATATAATTGTTGACATAGATATCAGTTACATCTCTTGTATATACCTATATCCACCCATCATAATATACCACGTTACTATTGGTTACCAATTCCAACATCTGCTTATAACTTCTATCGTCTGCTTTCAGTCAAATTCACGTCTGCCTTGCGCGTGCTGCAATTCTTAGAGTGTTGTATATTCGACGTTGCTGTAATTGTGGAATTATCTTCTGAACACAATAATATAGGCAAGTTTTTTAACGCTTTATTTTGTATACATCTTTCAAACAGCTCTTATGTTTATGTTTTAACTTCAGATTTATGTTTTAACTTCATATCGTTTTTCAAAGTTCGTAATTATAATAATGTTCAAAGTTCATCGGGATTTTCCGACGTGGTTTTCCCCTTGTCAGTGTTGCAGGACGAAGGGTCTGACAAGGACAGCTGTCTAGTCATTCGGATTAGAAGAAAAATCGAGGTCTCGTGTGTTCATTGGCGTACACGTTAAAGATCGCTTGGCAGTTGTGGAGGACGGGGGCCTGACAATGAAAGCTGATTGTCGTTCAGATGGGACGAAAAAACCGAGGTCCCGTATATACATTGCCTTGCACCTAAAATATCACATGGCAGTTGGAATTCGATATAAGAGTTGGCCGTAGTGCAAAATTACCCTTATATCACACTGTATGGCGTTTACCCGTCTTCATTAGCCCAGTCGGAGCAGAACAAGCTAGAAGGCGTTAAACCCCATTCCATTTCATTTCATTTATAATAATGTTCGATGTATTAAATGAGACGGCTTAACCAATCGGGTTGATAAAGACGAGCACTAATAGTGGCACCGGCGTTTCAGATGTTTAAGTCCGATTCCAATTTCCGGGGATCTTTATCGTGCTTCCAATGGTATTTCATCATACCCGCTTCATCATTATCACTCCTTATTCAGAAAGCGGCATTTATAAACTTGTTTTCGTATCCTGCGTACTGTAATTTAGTTATACACATCGCATTTAATTATTGTTTAAACACAGTGCCCTGGTATGGAGTCTCATACGACCGACTAAACGCTTTTCCGTACCAAGCGTCTCGTCTTCATTAATCCCGTCGGTGCAGAACAGTAGGATGTTAAACCCCAGATCATGCAGTACGTCAATCAGTGTCATGTTTACCGACCGACCGCAGGATCAGTAAAAGAATCTAGATGTTTTTGATGTCAACCAAACAAGACCAAGTACCATGCGGGGTATTTGATACCAATCAAACACGGTCAAGTACCTTGCAGGGTAGATGAGACCCGGTCCTATGTTCACAAAGCATTATCAGACTTAATAATTTACCCCTCTTTTAATCACTGTTTATGAGAAATATCTTTGATCCGAAAACACAAAACGTTGCACATACGGGATCGTTACAATATGCCGGATTATGCAGAATGTCGGAATACTCAGTTCTTACAGATGTAAAAGTTTTATAAAGAGCTATATTTTACTTAAAATAAGCCGAACAGTTTTGAGTAAATTCTTAACTGAGGTCTGAGAATGTTTTGTGAACTTGGGACCCGATGTTGTTTTATCCGAACCCTGTTTGTGGCGAACCATATATCCCCAACAAATATATAGAAGGTGAATTCATACAATATCTATTTTGTCAAATTTTATATTTGCTTTCCATCTAACATATTAAGTACAGAAAACTATTCACAACAGGGAGCAATAGCGACTCAGTGAATAACGCACTTGCTCACTGACCAGGGGACACGTGTTCGCTCCCGGTTCTTGGGATTTTCCGGCGCCGTGCAGGAAGGAGGGCCTGACAAGGAACAACGTCTCGTCGTTCGGATTGGACGAAAAATTAAGATTGCATGTAGGCATTGATGTGGAGATAAAAGACCACCTGCTCCGACTGAGCTAATGAAGACGGGCATACGCCAAACAGTATGCTACTGGGGAAATATTGCCCAGGCAGCGGCACTACGGTCTGCTCTTATATCGAATTCCAAATATCAAGGAATCTTTTACGTGTACGCCAATGTACACGGGACCTCGGGTTGTCGCCCCATCCCAACGTTCTTGTCAAACTCTCCGTCCTGCATCCCTGACAAGGGGAAAACAGGCCGGAATCGAACCCACGACCTCGAGGCTAGCGAGCTAGCGTCTTACTCACTTAGCCACCGTGTCTCCCGATCAATAAGATTTTAAACCCAATTTCATTTTATGAAGAGTGTAATTAACAGTTTCAGAGTACTAGAGAAATTTCTAATGTGTAGATTACAAGTGCCAGGTCTCAGATAACGTTTATGTGCTTTTAGTCATAATTATTAAGCGTATTTCAGCTTATTTTGTTACATAAGGGTTGTTAAAGGCGAAAGCGCACTTTATAAAGTGAAATGAACTGAGTTTTAATTTCCTACTTTAACCGGTAAAAAGGATTAAATTTAGGGGTTAATTTTCGACAATGACGTCGAATTCGAATACTTGTGAGGCTAAAGAAATCCCCAAAGTTCTACCCTGCCGATGCCGATATTCAAACCTAGGATTTCCAGATTCAGTTCACAATCTCTTATTGGCAGGTGTTAAAGTCCGTGTTGCCTAGAATGGCACCGTAGACTGAATACCATTACAGCCCCCCCCCCCTTCCAACAACCATAAAGATATTGATACTTTAGACCCAAAGACATTTGCATGATTTTCCTTGCTGTTCTAACTTAAATGTTCTAAATGATTCTGACTTATCCCTTAGGCTAAATAATAAAAACCACGCAGAAGAAACCATCAGTCAGTCTCTGGTAGAATAGGATTGTCGCTCGCGGACATCTGTTGGCCCGACACATGAAACGATCTGCTATAGAGTAGTAGCATTATCAGGACCAGGTGTTGATCAAGGTCATTATCTAACCAAGGTCACTCAGTCTCTTTATCTTCTACAGACCTACATTATATTAGCAGGTGTCTAAATACTAGGTTACCCAGACTTTTTATCTTCTTATATACCAAATGTCTTATTACGTTACACTTGACATTCTGGTCTATTATACACAACAATATATATAAAGTTTGCACGCATAACCCTGGTATTTTATATGACGTCAGAAGATCAGCCGGGATTTATGAAAGTCACGTGGTATTTGTCTGACAAAAACTGAGATAGATAAAATTGCTCTAATCGGGCGAGGTGGGGTGTTCTCCCGTTGGCATAGAAATTTAAAAAAAATGCAAGTAAATTGTGTTTTCTAGAGTATATCATGAGTACCAGGGACCTGTTTCACGAAATTTTAACTAAGATAAAATCCAACTTTTACTAATTTGATTGGATAATATTAGATTGATTTTAGTGCCTAGCCAATCAAAATTGAAGTATCTACTAAAATTTGGATTTTATCTTTAGTTAAGATTTTGAGAAACAGGGCCCAGATCTTCGAGCGTGGAAGTCTTACCGATTACTTAAATTCAAGTCTAAAACGGAACCCCAAACTAGGGAGAACATTAACTTGTTTAAGTGCTGCCCCCGAGTCTACCATCCTCACAGTTTCCTCGGTCCATCAATGCTTTAATAACAATCACGACCGCTCGACCAAACCTTACATATATTACAAGAGAGAGAGAGAGAAAGGGAGAGAGAGAGAGATGGGGTTTAACGTCCACTCGACACAAACTAGGTCATTTCGGGACTAACATATGGTTCAATTTTATTTCCATATTTCGCTTGTGCGTAGGGGTCTTTAGCAGTGGGAGAAAACCGGAGGAACCGAAGAAAACCAACGAGGTTGGACAGGCGACCCTACTCCTTGTCACGTACAACTGGGGAATCGAAACCCCGCCAGTTGACTCAATGACAGATTTTATGATGCAGCGCGCACGTGCTAACCATTCAGCCATCCAACCCCCCTTTATTACAAAAAGATATATTAACAAAGATATAAGCCAAATAACAAGTAAGCGTTAAAAATTATAGAAACACCCCTGATAGTTCGATTAGTATCCGTAAAGGGCTTTTTCAACAAACGTCCGGGGCTTTTCGGAGATACGAAACATAAGACTATACCTCTGTGTACGAACTGAGAAACTGTGTCTTTTGTTTCTGACATGAAGGTCCCGAGTACCGCTCGAATCTAGGTCCTGAGTTGCATTACGGGAACTTCCCTGGTATGTCCTGCCGTCAGTGGTGCCGAACGGGTGGGTGGGTGGGGGGTCTGGCAAGTAAGGGACCCAGCCGTTCGGATTGAGCGTAAAACCGAGGCCCCGTATATATAATTATCAGCATGTAGAATATTCGGTTTTCTGATGTTGCAACCCATCCGAATGTCAAGATTTGTTTGCTTACCTGCGACTCCGACAAGGGGAATTTCGGCTGAAAAAATACGAAATGAAACGAAATGAAATGGGGTTTAACGTCCTACTTTTCTGCCCCGAACTTGGCTAATAAAGACGGGCATACGCCATACAGTGTACTATGAGGGGAATTTTGCCCGGACAGCAGCACTACGGCCTACTCTTATATCGAATTCCAACTGTCATGGGTTCTTTTACGTGCACGCCAATGTGTACACGGGACCTCTGTGTTTGGTTCTATCCTAACGACTAGACAGCTGTTTCTATCAGGCCCTCCGTCCTGCATCACTGAAAAGGGGCAAAAATGAAAGGCACATGCCTAGTGAGTCAGCAGCACACTCATCGAGCCACCGTAGCCCGTTTAAATCGTCATAAATACTTTTCGCATTCGTCGTCGATTCTTCTTTTTGTAATATTTTCAATTACAGTTTAGATTCATCTTCACGTTCACACCTTAAACATGGAATAAAAAACTACACTGCAAGATTGTAATGATGCCAAATACTTTGTCTTGTCAGCCACCGAAACACGACACCGGTTCTGTACAACGAATTATATTCTTGTTTATATACGTGTTTCTGATGAAAGATTACCTGATACCATTCTTCTGTTGTTATAGTGTTGTACATGTCTTGCATTCGTCAGCGGTTACAAATAATTCGTGCGAGTCACGGAATATATTTAGTATTCATATAATACGAATGATTCCCCCCGCCCCCCGCACCCCGATAATATATATCCGAGGCCCACCTAGGTACGGAAGGCGAAGAGGGAGGACGGGTATTGCCCCCCCCCCCTCACTCACACACACTCATTGTGAGGAATTGGTCCGATTTTAAGCGTCAAAGGGAATTCAATTCTTTTTTAAAAGGAACCCAGCTGCCACCCGGGTAGCTACCGTTTGCCACCGCCTGGGTGATATCCCATTCTGAAATCCGAGCTCGCTTCAAATCTACTTAAGATATAATATGAATTTTTTCATTTTTTTCCCATTCACGAAAACTTAAACTAAGTTACAAATACTGCAACTTCATTGGATATATGCAAATTGATTTTACTGGTCAGCCAATCGAATTGCAGTATTTTTTAAAATTTCGGTTGTAACTTAGTTTAAGTTTTCGTGAGTAAGGGCCCTGTTATTTCTCTCTGGTGGTGAAATGTTTTGTTCTGAAACGAGATACATGTATATTTCATTTCGACAATAAAGATGAAGAAAAGCTGTAGACGCCGTGTTAATGTAATGGCAAAGGCAATAAATATAACTGAAGCTTTTTGCACTCATATATAATTTAAAGCGACAATAAATCAAATGAATCCGTAAATATATTTAGAGTTTAATCGCCAGTAATTGTAATATTTTCGAGTTATGTCTATTTTTATTTATAACAGTTATTTGTTGCTTAGTCAACGATATCAACGTTACAGTGTATACTATAATTACTGGGGGGTTGGATGGCCGAATGGCTAGCACGTACGCGTTGTATCATAAAGACTGTCATTGAGTCAACTGGCGTGGTTTCGAATCCCCGGTTGTACGTGACAAGGAGTAGGGTCGCGTGTCCAGCCTCGTGGGTTTTCTCCGGGTCCTCCGATTTCCTCCCTACGCGCAAGCGAATTATTGAAATAAAAAAAATAAACCATATGTTAGTTCCGAAATGACCTAAATGTGTCCAGTGGACGTTAAACCCCATTTTTCTCTCCCCCTTTCACTTATAATTACTGCTTCTTCAGCTTGATAACTAACTCGGCCTAAAAACATAAATAAGAAATTATCTGAGTATATACATATAATTACTTCTTCACCTTAATGAACTCAAGTAAAGTTTAAAGTTCAGGGGTTTATTTCCAGTTCGGGTGTAAAACGACCATTTGGAGAGAAAAAAAAGGAAATTATTTTGGCAGAGATCGAGAATGACTAACTTACCCCAAACAAGAAATAAAAATATATCTATATATGTTTAGACCATAACCTTTTGACCTTTAGTACAGGGCATATATATAATATATAAATACCTACTAGTCTGTAATTGTTTGCATGTGCTAATGGATGGAGCTAATAGGTGGAGACATGGTTTCTTTACACGAGATAGAATAACTTGCTAACATTAACTTTATCTTACAGTGTGCACTTACAATATGTAGGTGGGAATGAAATGGGGTTTAACGTCCAACTGTTCTGCTACTAAAGTGGAGCAAATGAAGACGGGCATACGCCATACAGTGTGCTATGAGGGAAATTCTGCACGGGCAGCGGCGCTACGTGCACGCCAATGTGTACACGGGACCTCGGTTTTTCGTCCCATCCGAACGACGAGACAGCTGTCCTTGTCAAACCCTCCATCCTGCATCACTGACAAGGGAAACCACGACGGAAAATCTGGATGAACTTTCTCGGCCAATGCAAGGATCGAACACCCGACCTCCAGGCTAGCGAGCCAGCGTCTTACCCACTTAGCCATCATGATCCCCCAATATGTAGTTAGAACTTTAAGATAAAAGAAAATAAATGTCTTATTCAAGTAGACTAGGACTAAATTCAGAAATTAAAGACACTTATACGGGTATACTACTTTTGAATTTATTTAAATGCTACGTTTCGATACACATACAGATATCGTTATCAAGCCTAAAACGTAGCATGTTAATAAATTCAGAAGTAGTATACCCATATAAGTGTCTTTAATTTGTGAAATATACTTCTATAGGTCTTTGATTAGACTAAATTCATATTTATTGCCTAATACAAGCAGTGATGGGGCCGAGAAGATCGAACCCAAACTGATCAACAGTGAATAGTCGCTAGGCCGCTACAAAAACTATGCGAGCTAATAATCTCACAATATTAACAGTTTTTCCTTTTCCATATTAAATCCTAAAACATTTTTTTTATCTGGATAATACATAATTCCTATGTAGTGGGAATGGGTACATGGTATAGTACCCGAAGGTGTAAAATGAGTAAAAGGCACCATTCTGCCCGGACCAGTTTACATCTTATGTAAACACTGCACGCGCTATCAGGGCCAATGATCAACGCCGTATGATCTGACATCAGTCATCTTACACGGAGTTAATATAAGACTTTCGCATTACCTCTGTGAAACATGTGAAACAGATTGGATCGAACCTTAGGGGCTTTTCAAATCCGGCCATCATCACAAGTTAGAAAGAATTGTACTTTTGATTAACTGTATTTATTTATTTATGGTTTTCTGGATATCTATAGGGGATCACGTGGCTAAGTGGGTAAGACGCTAGCTCGCTAGCCTGGAGGTCGGGTGTTCGATCCCTGCATTGGCCGAGAAAGTTCATCCAGATTTTCCGGCGTGGTTCTCCCTTGCCAGTGATGCAGGACGGAGGGGCTGACAAGGAAAGCTGTCTAGTCGTTCGGATGGGACGAAAAACCGAGGTCCCGTGTACACATTGGCGTGCACGTAAAAGATCCCTTGGCAGTTGGAATTCGATATAAGAGTAGGCCGTAGTGCCGCTGTCCGGGCAAAATTTCCCTCATAGCACACTGTATGGCGTATGCCCGTCTTCATTAGCCCAGGTTAGGAGCAGAACAGTAGGACGTTAAACTCCATTTCATTTCATTTCATTTCTGGATATCTATAGACTGCCATTGTTTACTTCCATTTCACCCTTTTCATTTATAATTAAGTTGATGTATGTCAAAATATGTATAAATAGGCTGACTAGATGGATATTTATCATTAAATTGAAAACGTGACCTGTATGTGTTACGAAGCGTCGTTATTAAATAATAGAGAATTAGTTATATCCATATATACCTTGTGTTGTGTTTTATTATAAATCATTTATAATTCTTATCTCGTTTCAGATTCCAGTTTAAAGAATAGGAAAGGCAACCATGGCAGGACTAGAAATACCGTTCAAAGTAACAGAGGGCTACCTGGGACCACAGAGTAAATTTGAGTCGTACGGCCTACAGATGTTAGCACATAGTGACCCCATCATAGACATGGCGGGTCCAACAACAGAAATAATAATGAGTGCTCCACCTGGAACCCGCGTTACAACTAAAATGCTGTCCGTATCCCTCAAGAAGGAATGTAACGAGTATCATTTGATCCGTCGTCAAGGAGACAACTTCCTCTTCCTGTTAGCACCACCTACACCGGGATTTTATAAATTTCAGTTATACGCATTACCAAAAGGGGAGGCCGGACCTCAAATGCAGTGCGTGTTTAATTACATCGTTCACTGTCCAAATCCAGGTGATGGTCAACCCTTTCCTAAACAGTATCCACAGTGGAAGGACGGTTGTTATCTTACGGAACCCCTTAAAATAACGAAAGGAAACCGTGACCCCGTCGTTAAATTCAATGTGTTTGTTCCCAAGGCCGTTGATGTTCAGGTTAAGATTAACACTGATTGGAATCCATTAGAAGCCACGTCGCCAGGCAACTGGGAGGGTATGGTGGACCTAAGTAAGAACTACCCACCGGGAACTAAAGCGAAACTCAACTGCAAATTCTCAGGTCACAACTATAACACTTTGCTGGAATATACTATTTAAATCAGAAGTCATACGTCGTTTCGACAGAACTCTGGTAAAATTGGCCGAGCAAGCGAACATTAATTTTTTTTATAATACGTAATTGCAATCTGTTTTGGAACTAATTTGATTGACCTAGGTGAAGTAACTGGGAAACACCATTAACACAAAACAATAGTTTCAGTTAGTTGGAAATATTCGCTCCAACTCTAACTATTTGAAGTTTTGGTTTGAATAATTGTTTCGTTTAGCTAGTGTAAGGGACATAACTCTTGTTTTGTAGGATCGCAAGGTTGAAAAATATATTTTCATATTATTGGTATTCACAATCACGCGTGTTATTTATTTAATCGTTGGGGAGTCAGTGATTCCAATCAATATTATTCTTTTAATTGCTTAAAGATAATAAACTTATAACATTCTATAACAACATATATGTGAATATCTCTTGGAATGAGCTGTATTAAATATGTAAATATATTATGATGGTCTGGCTTTAAAATGGGACCATTAACAGGAGCAACACCCAGATAAGAATCGCAGATAGGTATAGATGATAAAATTGGCCTACTTATTGCAGGTAAAATTTAAAGCAGAATCGACACACTTACATATATTACAAGAGAGAGAGAGAGAGAGAGAGAGAGAGAGAGAGAGAGGGGGGGGGGGTTAACGTCCACTCGACACAAACTAGGTCATTTCGGGACTAACATATGGTTCAATTTTATTTCAATAATTCGCTTGCGCGTAGTGGTCTGTATCAGTGGGCGGTACCGGAGGACCAGGAGAAAACCCACAAGGTTGGACAGTCGAGCCTACTCCTTGTCACGTACAACCAATGAATCGAAACCACGCCAGTTGACTCAATGACATACCTTATGATACAGCGCACACGTGCTAGCAATTCAGCCATCACCATGAACCTAAAGATTAGTTAGTCAGCATCATACTGTCAACACCTGGATCCTACAGGTTAGTCAGTCAGTGTCATACTGTCAACAACTGGAACCTACAGGTTAGGCAGTCAGTGTCATACTGTCAACACCTGGAACCTACAGGTTAGTCAGTCAGTGTCATACTGACACCTCAAACCTACAGGTTATTCAGTGTCATACTGCTAACAATTGTTCTGTTACGTACACACCAATGTGTCCACACGGTTACGCCTTTTTGCGAATTTTTCGTATCCGAACGACTAGACACTCGTCCTTGCCGGATTCTCTATGTTCAACACTGGCAAGGGGAACACAGGCTGGAACATCCCGACAACTTTTCTTAGGCAACACCCGGAAACAAGGGGTTAGGGAGCGAGCGACATAAACAGTGAGCCAGTATGGCTTCCAAGACAAGAATATTTATATATAAAAATCAATAGGTGGTGTTTTTAGATATATATTCGCACCTGGTATATATATTCTCACCTGGTTCAATAATTGATTGTTTTATAAACTAGGACGACATTAACCACTCTTTCTATTGTTGATTACAATATAAAATGTTAACAATGCAGGAAAGGTGATATAAACCCCGTTTACATTATAAATTTTAAGCGTACCAGGCACGGTACCAGGTACGACACGCTTCGTTTTTTTGTGGTGTAAACGGGTCAAACGTAAGCGTGCCGTACCTGGTAGGGTGTCAGTCTGGCCCACTGAAATGAGATGTTCTCAGATGGTATATAGATACACGAGAAGTGGGATCAGACGGTATATATAGGTACGTGAGAGGTGGTATCAGATGGTTTATAGATACATGAGATTTGGTATCATATGGTATAGAGATACATGAGAAGTGGTATCAGATGGTATATAAGTGGTATCAGATGGTATATAGATACATGAAATGGTATATAGGTATGAGAAGTGGTATCAGATGGTATAAATATACATGAGATGTGGTATCAGATGGTATATAGATACATGAGCAGTGGTATCAGATGGTATATAGATACATGGGAAGGGTATCAGCTGGTATACATATACATGAGATGTGGTATCAGATGGTATATTGATACATAAGAAGGGGTATCAGATGGTATATAGATACATGAGAAGGGGTATCAGCTGGTATAAATATACATGAGATGTGGTATCAGTAGTATATAGAAACACGGGAAGTGGTATCAGATGGTATATAGAAACACGAGAAGTGGTATCAGACAGTATACATATACATGAGATGTGGTATCAGATGGTATATAGAAACACGAGATGTGGTATCATATGGTATGTAGATACACGATAAGGAATGCAATTACTGTTTATAATTGAGTGACATTTCTATGTTAAAGTAACACAATTTAATGATTTAATGAATATCGAGGTATTTAGTAACTGGATTGAACACATCTAAAACACAAACTAATTGTCCCGATGATTGGCTGTTATTTATTCAATTTCAGAGAGAAATGCAGTTATCTCCCCTACACCGTAAATGACACATTATGTAACAATAATTCAGTCATAAGTACAATTATTGGTGTTAATCAGAATAACAGTAGTCTAATTACTAACCTCTTCTTTTAATGTCAGTTATATTATTAATTGTTACTGGAATTGTAAACCTTCTATCATCATCAATAAATCTACTGCCAGGATTACAGAGTGTCTCCGAGTCAATAATATTAGTATAACAGTCTGACAAACCATTAGGTCCAATAGTCCCATTACATTGTTTAACTACAGATTGTCTATCATCTGTTTTATTTATAACTTTGTATGTGACGTCAACTTTACATGACGTAATACTTTTATATACTGGTATATTGATACATAAGAAGGGGTATCAGATGGTATATAGATACATGAGAAGGGGTATCAGCTGGTATAAATATACATGAGATGTGGTATCAGTAGTATATAGAAACACGGGAAGTGGTATCAGATGGTATATAAATACACGAGAAGTAGTATCAGACAGTATACATATACATGAGATGTGGTATCAGATGGTATATAGAAACACGAGAAGTGGTATCATATGGTATGTAGATACACGATAAGGAATGCAATTACTGTTTATAATTGAGTAACATTTCTATGTTAAAGTAACACAATTTAATGATTTAATGAATATCGAGGTATTTAGTAACTGGATTGAACACATCTAAAACACAAACTAATTGTCCCGATGATTGGCTGTTATTTATTCAATTTCAGAGAGAAATGCAGTTATCTCCCCTACACCGTAAATGGCACATTATGTAACAATAATTCAGTCATAAGTACAATTATTGGTGTTAATCAGAATAACAGTAGTCTAATTACTAACCTCTTCTTTTAATGTCAGTTATATTATTAATTGTTACTTGAATTGTAAACCTTCTATCATCATCAATAAATCTACTGCCAGGATTACAGAGTGTCTCCGAGTCAATAATATTAGTATAACAGTCTGACAAACCATTAGGTCCAATAGTCCCATTACATTGTTTAACTACAGATTGTCTATCATCTGTTTTATTTATAATTTTGTATGTGACGTCAACTTTACATGACGTAATACTTTTATCTTCTACGTCATTCAGGTATAATCTAACACGTAATGATGATGAGAAGTGTTACTCCATGTAAAACCTGAAACTACATGTCGTTTACCTTTATACCTACCACCATCTCTCACATTATCCACATTAAAAACATCTTCAATCATATTCTGATGACAACTTACAATTTTACCACCCATATTCTGATGACAACTTATAATTTTACCAAGTTGATTAGTTAACAAAGGTTTATCTATCTCTGCTACTTGAAATGTTGAATATCTTACATCAGGTATATCCAATTTTCTACAACAACTATCATCTTTCTCCTGTCGAACTTTAGGTAAACTTTCTAACATTTGAACAATTGATAAATTTTCAAAAACATTCACCGAGTATTTAACACTATCTTTTAAATCTTCTGTTAGTCTTTTACTGTCTTCCACTAATTTCTTGAATTTGGATTCTTCCTCTTCACCAGTTTTCTGCATTTCCCTTTTAATATTTCCTCCGAATTTATGAAATTCTGAGTCTGAGCAGATTTTCTCAACCTGCGCATTTATTTTGTCACATTCAGTTTTTGTGCAGTTTTTGACTTCAATTAATTTGATATTTAAATTATCATAATGTTTCTGAAAATTAGTGATTTGTTTTTCTAATTTATCATTCAGTGATTTTAAGTCGTGTCTGATACTTTGTCTGACTTCACCCTCCTGTAAATCTAAATAATTATGTGTAATACTATTTGATAATTTGCACCAGATTCCATGACTTATAATTTGATAGATGAATATGTTTTATTAATTATTCTACATTGCCAAAACATTAGCTATGGTATAAGTTAATTCTGAAACGCAAATTAAAATTATTTAAGAAATATTGTGACAATAACAGGACATGGGGTCTAAAGACAAAGAATCGTTCATATTATTGATTCTAACTTCATAACCATAAATATAGGAAGTGTATGCTGGATATTGTGATACGTTAACCGAGCATTAGATTAATGAACATTTTGGTCATTTCCATTTTTCTTAGTTATAAAACATATCATATTTGTTGACCAAATTAGGTAACAATCTCTGTCGATATTCAGATTGGGGTGCATGTCCATTCCATATTTAATGTCCATTAAATATTGAAGATTGAAGATCTGATAGTACTACATATTCCGTTATGATCGGCCACGAAACATTTCAAACATACAGTTACAGTACAATCTTTACAGTATACTTTTACAGCCCAGACAGAAATCTTTAAGATTTGTGATAGACGTAGCTAAAGTTTTTTTTCCTTTATTGGTTTGTGTGAAGCAGGCGCTTGATAGATTTGTGATTCATCATATCGAGAAACAACGTGGTCTTTACAAGATTTTAACTGATCATGCATGGTTTTACATGATTTACATAAATATTGATCACAGTCTCGACAGAAATATTGACGTGTATCTTCAGTACCTACACCACATTGTCGAATATTAATTGGGTTGGGTTTAAATCGATCCAGACTTCCGTCACTGAGATTTATAAAACTACGACACAATAAACATCGGTACTGATCTTTAGTGGAGGTTTTGTTCACATAACCTTCCAAACAGATGAAACATAACAAATGTTGACAGTCGATTATTACAGGTTGTCGAAAAGCATTCAAACAAATACTACACACATCCTTCTTTGCCATCTTTAATTACTGTCTGTTTACTGGTTGTATAAAACTTACTACGGGTTGAAACTTGAAACAAAACCAAACAGTTACGCTAGTATAAAATACGATATCGGTACAGATGGCCTACAAAATATTAAAGTATTAGTTTAGCTAAAACATCTAATTCCCATAGACGACCACATCTGTCATCGTCTCGCACATTGTATCTTCCTCGGACTGTACACTGTACTATATGAGTACAGTACATGAGCTGTTGACTGTACATGCATAAACCTGCTAGAGTTTGTTCGAAATTTTATTTTCGTATTTAAATAACGACCTTTGACAA